TTAAATTAAATAACAGCTCGCTGCTCCTCTCTGCCTCTCCCCTTCTTACTCTATGTTAATCTCTAGAGGCAACAGCTTCTCTCCTACGCACTCACACTCACTTTCTCTGCTCTTCTCTGCTCTGCGCGGGGACTATAAATAGAGGTGCTGAGGTCGCGCGCGCCTCAGTCTGTCCTAGGGGTACCTAGTGTTAACATCTCAAGTGATAGTGATAGTGATCTCCCTTCGATCCCAAAAATATGACGTGGCCAATACATCTGGATGACTAGGAAGATACTCACTTTGGATGAAGTCAATGTAAACAATGACGAAAGAGAATAGCCACGTGTCCTTTACGGCGGTAGGTCTTAACCATGACATTTATATTATGTATGAAGAAGCTGTAGGTGGGATTAGGCCTAGTTCTAGACTTTATATTCCAATTTATTTCCTTATTCCCATGGTCCCCATTACATATTTAGAAACTTATTTTTCAATACTTTAGATACTTACTGATTATAGTTACTTGCTGGTCATAGATACTTGCTGTTAAGAGTTACTTAATGTTCATTGATACTTACTGATCAGAGTTACTTACTGCTCATAGTTACTTATTGTTTATAGTTAAATTAAATAACAGCTCACTGCTCCTCTCTGCCTCTCCCCCTCTTACTCTATGTTAATCTCTAGAGGCAACAGCTTCTCTCCTACGCACTCATACTCACTTTCTCTGCTCTTCTCTGCTCTGCGCGGGGACTATAAATAGAGGTGCTGAGGTCGCGCGCGCCTCAGTCTGTCCTAGGGGTACCTAGTGTTAACATCTCAAGTGATAGTGATAGTGATCTCCCTTCGATCCCAAAAATATGACGTGGCCAATACATCTGGATGACTAGGAAGATACTCATTTTGGATGAAGTCAATGTAAACAATGACGAAAGAGAATAGCCACGTGTCGTTTACGGCGGTAGGTCTTAACCATGACATTTATATTATGAAGAATGAATGAAGAAGCTGTAGGTGGGATTAGGCCTAGTTCTAGACTTTATATTCCAATTTATTTCCTTATTCCCATGGTCCCAATTACATATTTAGAAACTTATTTTTCAATACTTTAGATACTTACTGCTTATAGTTACGTGCTGGTCATAGATACTTGCTGTTCAGAGTTACTTAATGTTCATTGATACTTACTGATCAGAGTTACTTACTGCTCATAGTTACTTATTGTTTATAGTTAAATTAAATAACAGCTCGCTGCTCCTCTCTGCCTCTCCCTTCTTACTCTATGTTAATCTCTAGAGGCAACAGCTTCTCTCCTACGCACTCACACTCACTTTCTCTGCTCTTCTCTGCTCTGCGCGGGGACTATAAATAGAGGTGCTGAGGTCGCGCGCGCCTCAGTCTGTCCTAGGGGTACCTAGTGTTAACATCTCAAGTGATAGTGATAGTGATCTCCCTTCGATCCCAAAAATATGACGTGGCCAATACATCTGGATGACTAGGAAGATACTCACTTTGGATGAAGTCAATGTAAACAATGACGAAAGAGAATAGCCACGTGTCCTTTACGGCGGTAGGTCTTAACCATGACATTTATATTATGTATGAAGAAGCTGTAGGTGGGATTAGGCCTAGTTCTAGACTTTATATTCCAATTTATTTCCTTATTCCCATGGTCCCCATTACATATTTAGAAACTTATTTTTCAATACTTTAGATACTTACTGATTATAGTTACTTGCTGGTCATAGATACTTGCTGTTAAGAGTTACTTAATGTTCATTGATACTTACTGATCAGAGTTACTTACTGCTCATAGTTACTTATTGTTTATAGTTAAATTAAATAACAGCTCGCTGCTCCTCTCTGCCTCTCCCCCTCTTACTCTATGTTAATCTCTAGAGGCAACTGCTTCTCTCCCACGCACTCACACTCACTTTCTCTGCTCTTCTCTGCTCTGCGCGGGGACTATAAATAGAGGTGCTGAGGTCGCGCGCGCCTCAGTCTGTCCTAGGGGTACCTAGTGTTAACATCTCAAGTGATAGTGATAGTGATCTCCCTTCGATCCCAAAAATATGACGTGGCCAATACATCTGGATGACTAGGAAGATACTCACTTTGGATGAAGTCAATGTAAACAATGACGAAAGAGAATAGCCACGTGTCGTTTACGGCGGTAGGTCTTAACCATGACATTTATATTATGTATGAAGAAGCTGTAGGTGGGATTAGGCCTAGTTCTAGACTTTATATTCCAATTTATTTCCTTATTCCCATGGTCCCCATTACATATTTAGAAACTTATTTTTCAATACTTTAGATACTTACTGATTATAGTTACTTGCTGGTCATAGATACTTGCTGTTAAGAGTTACTTAATGTTCATTGATACTTACTGATCAGAGTTACTTACTGCTCATAGTTACTTATTGTTTATAGTTAAATTAAATAACAGCTCACTGCTCCTCTCTGCCTCTCCCCCTCTTACTCTATGTTAATCTCTAGAGGCAACAGCTTCTCTCCTACGCACTCATACTCACTTTCTCTGCTCTTCTCTGCTCTGCGCGGGGACTATAAATAGAGGTGCTGAGGTCGCGCGCGCCTCAGTCTGTCCTAGGGGTACCTAGTGTTAACATCTCAAGTGATAGTGATAGTGATCTCCCTTCGATCCCAAAAATATGACGTGGCCAATACATCTGGATGACTAGGAAGATACTCATTTGGATGAAGTCAATGTAAACAATGACGAAAGAGAATAGCCACGTGTCCTTTACGGCGGTAAGTCTTAACCATGACATTTATATTATGTATGAAGAAGCTGTAGCTGGGATTAGGCCTAGTTCTAGACTGTATATTCCAATTTATTTTCTTATTCCCATGGTCCCCTTTACATACTTATAAACTTACTTATTCTTTTCAATACTTTAGATACTTACTGATTCTAGTTACTTACTGGTCATAGATACTTACTGTTCAGAGTTACTTAATGTTCATTGATACTTACTGATCAGAGTTACATACTGGTCATTGTTAATTAATGTTGAAAATACATACATTCTGATCCTCTACATTTAATAATCGTTTCTCTGACAGCTATGTAGTATTCCGATTTTCATAAAACTAAAACGAATTTCTATAATAATAAAGATTTGAATCACAGTAGATAAATATATGTTAAAAACTGTAATAGGTATCTTTTTTTCTAAGATTTTCCGAGCGTTCCTATGTCACCTATATGATAAGTCGTCCGATCTGGCCTGTTCCGACTTATATGAGAGTAATAGTATATAGAAGTCAACTGCAAAGTTTCATTGAGATGCCTTCAAAACTAAAGGAACTAGTTTGCGTAGAAACAAACAGACGAACGGACAGACAAGAATATATATACTTTGTATGGTCGGAGATAACTCACTGCCTTGCAAATTTCTGACTGAAATTATAATACCCTGCAAGGGTATAAAAACCTTAAATATGCTCATTTGTGAAGTCGTTGGAAAAAAAGTAAACCACCACCACTTAAGGGCTCATGACAAAGCCACAACAATTAATATAAATTTAACCATTACGATTATGCGACACAATCTTCATTAATTAGACACAAGTCGAACATAGAACAAATTAGCCAAGGGTTCGCATCCAGCGGTCTCCGACCGGCAATGTCATTAACGTCACGTCGCTTTGTTCGCCGCCTCTTCCAACTCCAACTCCTCCAACCCTTGTTGGGTAAAGGGTGCAGTAATTATATTTACCGTTAATCCAGATTCACCACAAAAGGGAAGCGACTAACGAAGAGGACCAGACCCAGAGAGGAAGAAAGAGAACGAAAAGGGTAAATAGCGGAGGGGGAAAAAAATGCAAAAAAGAGCGTTAGTGGATCGACAGTTGGTGTTAAAATAGGGTTACAGCGGTTACAATTAACCCACACACTTTACCCATCTCTTTCCCATCGCCTCTATGGCTGTCTCTTTTGTATCCCCCGATATGGTTAGGGGGATATTTAGTTTGTGGAATTAACAAATTAATAAACCATGAATCTAAGATATTTTTTATAAATAAGATATGCCTTACTCTAGATAAATGGAGAGAAGAGACTTCTATATAATCAATATTAATAATTTCAATTTAATATTCAAATTTAGAAATATTACAAACACCCACCATAATTAATTTCTCTCAAGATCGTTTTTGAGCAACACTTATTTTTCATGAATTTATACTTAATCGAAAAGCATTTTCAAAATGATTTATGTATAAAAAAGATATAAATATTTACTGGGTATCTCATTTTCGACTATCCATTTCAGTTATTCAGTTCTGACATCCATTTACATAGCATTCGATTACGCGTTTTGTTTGCCTTTAATTGCGACGCTCATCCGTTTTACTTAGCAGTTTGTATTGAAGCTTGTAGAAATCGCTTTTCCTCGGTTTTCCCTCCACTCCATCGCTTTCCCCGCTTCCTTTGGCATTCGCAAGTGAAAAGCGTGAAGCGTAAAGTGCGTTTGGATTCGATTGCCTGAGCGAGTGCGGTGGAATGTCATGCTGTTCGATGCGCTCGAAACCCCAATTGATTCTCGAACTTCAGCTGGTGCACTGCACAGATGAACAGGACTAAGGCTGTTCGAACCGCAGTTGTGTAAATTGTTGGATATCTGGCAGCCGCAAACTAAACTGGATAGGTACGGTGAACACCTTCCATTGAACAACCCAAGCTCTGCATCCCTATGGGCTTAACGCATTTGACAGAACCGCCAAGGAGTATGCAATGAATAGCTTTGTTTCGATCTGTGCATAATGCCTATAATAACACTAAACATGAAACTATTTTATTGCATAATTAAAAAATGTTGTTTATTGATAAGGGTATCCAGATGGATTAACATAAAATTCGCATCAGAGCTATAGAAATACTCAGTTCGTCTTTGGTCGTCAGTGCTTTAAATACATTTGCTTACGTTTCTTTTATTTTCCTTCCTTTGTCGGATAAATATTAATTAAATTTAATGGAAATTCAGTTAAAGATGTATTGCTTTGCAATCACGGTTTTTATGCTTATTTCGCTCTCTATAAATGCCTTTAATTTGTCACCTTATCCAAGCTTGGTGATAAATTCTCCAAAGGATCTGAACTTTCAGTCGGAACAAACGCGCAGCTCTTATTTTGGATACACTTTAGTCATCCGTCCCACCAGGTACGTTGCTATGATGTCAATTCGAAATTAGTTTGCTATTTTTGAAAGTACTTATATATATATGCATATTTCATTAAAAATATGTAAAAACTGAATAGAATTCTAACTTTACTTCAAAACTCAAATCTTGTGTTTATCTATTTATGTCGCTAAAGAAATGACTGCTTTTGACGTCTAGTAGCAATATAGACCTTGAATAAAGAACGATTATATTTATGCTTATTAATGAATCATCACAAGTAGGTTTGCAATAATCAAGGGTATATCGTAAGTCCAAAAATGAGTTTCACATATAGTTTACGTAACCAAGAGCAATGACTTATGAATATATTTATATATGGGTCAAATATACAATATAAGAACGAGTTAAAAATAAAAATATTCTTAACCGCATTGATACAATATAATATTATTCATTGATTTTCTCATAATTATGAAACTGTATAAGCCTTATCTGAAATTGTTTATTACACATTGCTTTCTATATTTTTTAGACATAAGTACTTACTAGTGCTTATTACTTTGATGAATATGTTATATTTTTTTTTTTTCATTTAAGCATAATAGTGGGGCTCCCCGTTCCCAATCTACTTTAGCCTCACAGCGAAATATCAACGAGACGGGAGCGATTTATAGATGCTCTTTAGAAATGGATGACTGCAGCCCGTATATTGTAGATCAACAAGGACAAGATATCCTGAGTAAAAATACGTACAAGGGACGCAAGGATTTCCAGTTTCTAGGCGGATCGATGGATGGCGGCACGCTGGACACGGATATGTTGCTCGTGTGCGCCCCCCGTTTCAGCTTCTCAAGCATTGAACTTGAATATATGACTGGAGTCTGCTACCGAGTGGAGAACACAATAGGAAAAAACCCAGGACGTGTTACACACATCTACAGAGTTAGCAATAAATCCATAAGCTACGCTTCACTCATGAGAGAGATGGGTTTTAGTGCCCATGTGGTGGAAGATAATAGTATTTTCCTTATTGGGGCACCTGCCAAAGCTTATTGCAGTGGATCTGTCTTTGTGCACCGATCAGACATGCCGCTTGAGGGCCTTTTTAAAGAAGTCCCAAATAAACTGCCACTGAACTCAGACATTTTTTACTTTGGCTATGCGGTGAGTTCCGGTCACTTTGACAGCGCTAACATTCAAAGCCTGCAATATGTGATCACTGCCCCTCAAGCGAATCGCCCATCTGGTGAGGCCTATATCTTGAGCTCAGAAGGGAAACTCTTAAGGACATTAAAGGGAGAACAGCTCGGCGAGTACTTTGGCTATTCAGTTTTGGCAGAGGATCTAAATGGCGACAAGCTAATGGACTTGATTGTCTCAGCACCCATGCATGGGACGAATGATACCGCCGACAACGGTGCCATCTACGTGTTTATCAACAAGGGCCTGGTAAGTATAACCTCAATAAAATAAAGCGTGGATCCAAGCAAAGCCTTTTTAATTGCAGTTAAACTTTGAAAACAAAATTGTTAGATCGCCCTTGGCCAACAGCGCTCGATTTGGCACAACTCTCTCTCGTATGGGAGACATCAATCATGACGGATTCAATGGTAAGTTTCGTTAAGGATTAAACACTATAGCTCGAAGATTCTATGGAAACTAGAAAATGTTTGGGGAATTCCCATTAAGATAAGCCTTGTCTGCTTTGCAGATGTCGCAGTGAGTGCTCCATTTGCCGGAAATGGCTCTGTGTTCATTTACCTGGGCAGTGAGGAAGGATTACAGGATGTGCCGAGCCAACAGCTTGACTCCCCTTCTGATCATCCGTCCAAGTACGGAGCGCATATGTTCGGACATGGTCTCTCCCGTGGATCCGACATTGATGGCAACGGATTCAATGACTTGGCCATCGGAGCTCCCAACGCCGAGGCTGTGTTCCTTTACCGGGCCTATCCAGTGGTCAAATTATATGGCACCGTAAGGTCGAACGAACGTCGGATTGGCCCACAGCAGAAAATACTAAACATTACGACCTGCTACCGACTGAGTATGACGGCCGAGAAAAAGGAGGTTCAGGAGCAGGTCCTTTCCATCCGGATTGTCGCAGATCCGCGGATTACTTTTGCCCTGACGCAAACTTCTGAATTTAACTATCGCGTGGCTGTGGGTCCTACCGAGCAGTGCCGAGTTCTAGAGTTGCAAGTGGCCTTCACACAGAAGGACGTATACAAGCCCATTGATTTACAGATGCACTATGATGTTGCACCTAAGGACTCCGTTCAGGAAAGAGGGTTCTGTGAGACCTGCATTGCTGTTGATCCAACGGGTCCGAAATCTTCCATGGACAGGATCGTGTTTAATGTGGGATGCGACTCCGCAGTTTGTATCGCTGATCTGCAGCTCAACAGCAAGGATGTGGGGTAAGCTGAGGGATGTTCTCATTACTAGAGAAAACATCACTATCCCTTTTCCAGCTCCACATTCACTTTGGGCAGCAGTGACATCCTTCGACTGACCTATGAAATCACCAATGCCGGAGAGATTGCCTACCTGCCCCAATTTAACGTGACCAGCGACGCCTGTCTGACTTTTGCCCAAGTGCCAGGTGAATGCCAGGTCAGCGGAGCCGTTATGATGTGCGACCTTAACGGCGGAAATGCGTTGGGCAAAGGTGAGACCTATTCCATTACAGTCAGCTTCGATGTTAGCCAGCTTAGTGGTACGTCGCTGATTGTTACCGCTGAAGTATTTAGCATCGGATATGAAAGAAACCTCAAGGATAACAAGCACGTCACCGAGATCAACCTGAGGGAGTTCACCGAAATCGATGTCACGGGGTATAGTAATCTATTAAGCTATTGGAAAACCATTTAAAATTGAAAATTCTTTTTAGCGATCAAACAAGTTCTCAAATCCTTTTGGACAACCACGATAATTCTTTGAAAATCATAAAAAATTTCGAGATCAAGAGCCACGGACCTAGTGCTATTGAGCAACTGGCGGTTGACTTTCTGATACCCATTGCCTATAAGGCAATTGAAGCTAAGCCCATGATTCCCATTATCAATGTAACTAGCTTAAAGGTGGTGGCCACCCACGATTCCCAGCCGTTGGTTATCGAACTTTCCGACCATGACAATAACCAAAAGGAAAAGAATCTCGAGGACAGGAGTTCTGAAACGGGAAGGATTCGAAGCAGTCGGGATCTCGGAATTCCAGTTCACACCTCCTATGATCTGTTGGGAGGGAACTCTAGAGGTCAATTGCCCCTGAACCGCACAATAGTTTTTAGCTGCCAGGACTCCGAAAAGACGATGTGCATTCGCGCATCCCTAAATGGTGTACGTCTTAAGTCAGATAACTCTATTTTCCTGAATGTGAGCTATCACGTAAATTTGAACGAAGTGAATGCCATTTTACTGAAACCCTGGGGGTACTTTGTTATCCTTATCGATGTGGAGCTGGCGAAAAAGGACGATCCCACCTTCACTTCATTGGCAATTAATAAGAGAATAGAGCCATGTGTTATCTCAAAGAATTTAAAAGCAATTATTTCCATTTGGATTATACTTCCGTCCGTCATCGCAGGCTTGCTTATTTTCTCTGTGATTAATTATTCCATGTACAAGGTGGGTTTGAGTTATTGAAGCTTTAAGTTTTAATTACTACATTTAATTTAATGATTTATTTTGCAGTTCGGCTTTTTCCGACGCGTCAAGAGGGATGAGCTGCATAGAGTGAGAAAGCAGAGAAACTCAATAGAAGAAATTGATACTTAACTCGAATTTGTTTACTATATTTAAAACATTATATACTAAAACATTAATGTGTCAAGTATTGAAGGATTTCTCGTACTTGTTATTATAATAATCTCTGTTAATAATAAGATATACATACATGCAAATACCATTTCGTGCTCCATCAAAGGACTTAAATTAACAATAAATTGTCTCGAACATTATGAATATTGGTATTTTCCAGTCCATTCCCTTGCCACCCCACATCTCCCCTTCCATCAAAAAATACTTGACAAATATTTAATATCGCAGATGCACTTCTATATATATTTTTTCTTCTTCTTGTTATCCCCGATGCAGGATAAAATCAAACCAGATATTCGCATACATGTACGGGTGTGTATCTATCAGAAATGTGTCTATCTTGTCAACGAAAATTCGCATATGCGGAGACTGGAGCCGGGCACTCTGCCAAAAAATGAGAAAGGGGGATTGGACAACGAGAAAAATATATTTCTATATGCATATACATACGCATGGAAACTTGAAGTCTGGGAAAAATCTGGAGAGAAATTGCGAAAAGCAATCATGAAGTAAATATTGAGATATTGACAAGCGTGGCTCCTTGAAATGAGCAGGCCAATCCTCCAATTCAAGTTTCCTCAAGGTGCCACTGGTGTTTGTTTCCATTTTGTGTTTGAGCACAGGTGCGGGTCCGTAAAAAAATGAAAAATAAAATCATCACATTTATTTATGTCTCTGGTAAAAACACTAAAATTAACAGCGGAGAAATGTTTTGCTAATGCACAGGCAGCAGCTTGAAGGTGTATCTGTGTATCTGTATCTGCATCAGCTTTAAAAATTTAAAAAACTTAAAAAATTTTAATACGGATTTATACTAACAATTAAAGTTAATATATTTGAATTCAGAAGTTTGCAGGGCAGTAAATAATTAATTTCCTCCCATTTTGTATTATTTTATAATTTCGGTTTTAATTTGATTAAGATCGGATGACTATATCATATAGCTGCAGTTGAAACGAACGTTAACTCTCTTGCCTTGCACTCCCTGCCTTTCTCTTGAGTTTTCGCTTTCTCTCGCGCGCTCTCACTCTTACTTTCTCTGCTCTGCTCTCTACCCGGATAGTATAAATACAGGCACTGCTCTCGCACTGACCACATTCTGTCCGCGGCCTTCCCAGTGTTGATATCTGCAGTGATAGTGATAGTGAGTGCCCTTCGCTCCAAAAAATATCACCTGAGCAATGGAATACCAGAATTTGGATAACCAGAAGAAGACGAATATTATTCTACATTGAATGAAATCAAGCAATGACGGAGAAGGAAAACCAGACGACATATGCGGTAAGTCTTTACCATGACAATTAGTTAATGTATATAGATGATATAGGAGGGATCAGGCCTAGGTGTAGAATCATCTGTGCTAACTATGCATTTAATTTGCAATTAATTTTTATATTGCCATCAACCCCATTACTTCATTTGAGCTAAAAGTGATACAAAAATTAGTATTAAGTATATCTAAAAACGTATACTCAATGTTAACAGCTTATCTTAATAATAAATTTTCACGAATTTTGTCTTCTTACTCTTTTAAGTTTCAGAGCTGGAAACGCAGTGAAGGAGTCTTTACCGACCCTATAAAGTATATATTTTATTGATCACCATCAAAATATGAATCGATCTAGCCATATCCGGTATAAATATGATAGTTGAAAAACGAAGGGTATATTTAGCTTTAATTGCTTTAAATATTTTTACCCACTTTTTCTTTAAAATGTACTGATGAAAAGTTGCACTCCCTCCCTTTTATGAGGGTATATTTAATTCGTTTTACTCGATTTTTAAAAGTTGATCTTTTGTTTTATTTCTCATCTCGGATTCATGGGTCTTTGGCAGCTTTTGGTTGGCTGTCTGGCTTTCGGCTGCGTTAACTCGACAAACTGTTTTCACTGGCTCAAAGGCGACATAAAGTATATTTTGATTATTTCGTGAGCCAGAAGTTGAGCATTTTAAGGCCTGCCAGCATTTGCATTTCAAATATACTTTTACGAGGGCCCCCCCCAAAAAAAACCAAACCTCTGCACCCGCATACCGCCCGACACCTTCCCGCAGGATCCTTCGTCACACGGAGGTGGGAGGAATACCACAAATGGCGTGTAAACACAACAAAGAGGTAATAACAATGGCTGCCTGGATGCCAAACGAGGTCCCTGACTTCGCGGGAAGGCGGTGTGGGAGGATGAGGATGGGGATGGGGAAAAGGAACTCGTCCGCATTCCTGGAGCCTTTGAGGGGAGAGTGCCATATATAGAGGCGGGCAGGACTCTTTCTCACCAACGCTTGGCACCCGCACTTTCGTAAACATTTTTATTTGTTTCTCCGTAAGCTGTGTCAATACACAATAAATTGAACTGTGCCAGAATTTATGTTGCCACTTTGCCAGGACCCTCGTCCCCTTAGCTGCCCTATCGCGCCTGGAGCGTCAATTGCATGTTGGCCACCCCCTGGGGACTTAAAAGTTCAATAATATTTATTTGTTGCTGGCTGCTCTTCGACAACAAAGCACACAAGATTATACTTAGCCTAGGCCCCGTTTATCAAGCCACGCATATTGGCCCGCCTCGCAATGTGGCAGGCCAGAGGACTTGGGACACAAGACTCGGGACTCTGGACCCCCTTACGTAATGGCATATTGCCACACAATAGCCGAGACCGCAGTAAATTTCAGCCACTAAAGGCGATGATTTTTCAAAAGACACCAAGCTAATTTACTGACCGAATGCCAGCTTGGTCACCACTGTGATTTACGGGGTCACCATTTGCACGATTCCAATTATCTCTTTGGTTGGCTTGTGCCTTTAACCTTTGGAATATAGTGTGTGGTACTTGACCATTTTTAAAAGTGTCTCTTATTCAGTTAAGTCACACCTTAAATAGTGTCTTAGTCAGGTGAATAATACGCTTGTACTTGTGTTTAAATAAATTCTAGAAAATTCATGCTATTGGATATTTACTCTTAAAACTCAAAGGACAGTTAATTGTGTTACTTAGTGGAGAAGAATTTTTCTTTTCACTTTCAACAAACTTGTCATGTTCATAATCAATCTGGCATTCAAGTTAAAGTGAAGTCAACTTGATGAGTACAAGTCTACGAATAAAGTTTGAAAATTACAATCAGAAAGGTAAAATAAAGGCTTGCTAATTTTCTACCAAGAAAAAATCATACAAATATAGCTATTAAATTAAGTAACTTGAAACTTTTATTTTAAAAGTTTGTAACTTTGCAATATGTTTAAAATGTTTCTAGATTTCGTCATCTTAGCTTAATTTGTTTATTTCCTTTCACATTCGATTGTACATTAGTAAAAGATCTTATACGCTTTTCCAGTTGCTAAGAAAAAACCTAGTTATTAAGTTGGTTTATTAATATAAAATATAAGCCCTTTCAGTTTAATTTACATTGTAAATACCGCAGCCAAAATACGCCGAATGGGTACCTAAATGAGACCTCTTTGTTGATACCCTCTTAGTCCACAAATTTCGATATTCATAGGCGACAAAGCCGGAACCTGTCCGTCGGAAACACATGTATTGTTGGTCATCTACAAATAGCGTCCGAGCTGTAAACAAATAAATTTTGAAATCTTCCCGTGGTTGCACAGGTCGTGGTCCTGCCGAGCGCAGGCGCAGACAAACAAGCAGCCAGTCCGAGTTCGATGCCAAGCCCCGAAAGCCAGCCAAAGGACGGGATGGAAACGGCACAGTCCTGGGGAAGTGTGAATCGAACGGAAACCCGAACAAGGACTCGCCCCGCCGCTATGGAACGGAACGCAGGAGAAACGTTCGACGAGGAACGTTCGAAGGAACAAAGTCCGTTGGGAATGGGGGGGTCACTCATGTTGGCGGCTCGCGGCTCAGTTGGTAATTTGGATCCTTGGCGCGCGGACGTGACTCGGATGGGAAAGGGGAAAACCGCAGCCAGAAGCCAATTTTCCGCGATGTCTGACTAAGAAGTTTGCTCGGTACAACGACGACGACGACCACGATAGCCGGAGTAAACGAAAAAATAACGTAGAAAGTATGCAAAAGTGGGAAAACAAAGAGAGGAAAAATTAAGACAAAGTTAAACCACTTGATGTACCCTTGGGTGTCCTGTGTTTGTGTCCTGGAGTGCCGCCTGTCGAGTGTCTTTTGCCGAAATCACTTTTAAAATTTGTTTGCTTTTGCCGCATTCAAAATGGATATTAGAATGCCGCGCTAAAATAAAAAAAAGCAGGAGCGTAAACAGGACAAACAACAGAAGCCGAGGATATCTCCAAGGATGCGTGAGCGTCTGCCGTAACGTAAAAAAGGGATTATTGTGCATCATTTCGGCCCATAACCGGAATAAAGAGAATAAAAGCGTGCCAAGGAGGTGAAGGAAGAAATATCCTCAAGTCGGATTAGGCGATAAATTGTTACTGAAGTGTAAACGTTTTCTCACGTGTTAAATCGTTAAATATAAACCCTCGCAGCTGTATATATACATACTCTATTTAAGCCACAATTGTTCCACAACAGCTCGGCCATATGGTCATTGAAACTTATTGCCAAGAACTTTAAACTGTGAGTTAAACGTGGCGCCTAAGAAAAGCCATCGGGAAACTTGTTAAACACTATAAATGGTGCGAGTTCTTCAAGTTGTTTTTTGTGCCAAAAGTTTCGCCCATTAGTCATTGAGAACATAGTGTGGATAGTTTTGCATGACGACCGTGCAATTTATTAACTTTTATGCGACGGCCTGAGAAAGTGCACCGAAAAGGATATTTTATGAAATTAATTGAGAAACGATTATGAAAGTGTAAGTGGAAAGAAGTTGGCCTTTCTGATTTATATTCCCTGTAAAGTTAAATTACTTTATTATTTCACCAATTGAGATGTTGAAATATAAGGTTGAGAGACTTTCCTAAAAGAATGCGAAGCATTTACAAAAGTTTGAATGGAATTTACAGATGATGTTGGAATTTCTTTTTGATTTTTTACTGGATTTAAAAATAATTATTTAAATTCTAAAGAGTCTTTGAAATATGTTTTGTGGTAAATTCCTTAAAAAAACTTAATAATAATATGCAACAGTAAGCTACTTTGTTTTGTGCATGTAAATACTAGGGCTTTAACGGATTTCTGTTGTTTCGACTAAATAAATTTGCATCAAATAACAACCAAAACCAAATAAATAAATTTTAATTTCCATTAAATATAAAGCCAAGTTTTGATGTCAGTTTATTTGTTTATTTTGATGCCACTGCAGCGCCAATAAAACTTGACCACCCAACAAAGCCGAAAACACTTAAATAAATATATAAATCAAGCTTAACGAAAATAGTGCAAATCGAGGGCAGAGTGCCCAGAAACTAAACAATAAAACAGCAAAAAATTCGCTTGAGAAAACGCAACGTAAAACTTGTGGCAGACGCATAAAGAAGAGTTGCAATTTCGGGTTTTTTTCTTCGGAAAATGGATATAAAATCGAATGAAATAAAGTGAAATAAAGAAAAAAACGGAAATAAATAAAATAGGTTGGAGAAGCCCCAAAATGCAGGCTAGAAACATCTAAGCCCCTTCCCCGAGCGCATTAATTCAATAAACCTATTTATCTGGGACTTCGACTGGGATTTGGCCGGAGGAGCGGAGAATGCGACAAAGTTTGCCAGCCAAGACGGCGCAGTGCAATCAGCAGGTCCTGAAACCGAGTCCAAGGATCCAAAGGAGCCAGATTCGATGCCGCAAACGAGTCCCAATTGGAGGCAGGCGGACAATGAGCGCACAAAAGGCGCTGTAAGTGTCATTGCAGCCAGGAACTGGGCCACTGGGACTGCCACGCAGGACGACTAGAGCCAGAAGAGCACCGTCACCAGCAGCGGAGCCAGAGTCAGGACCCGGATAGCGACGTTGACAACTGAGATGACAGCGGCCGGCGGAGACGGGGGGCGGTGGTGTCGCCAGTCCTTCGGCAGCTCCCCACCAGCATCTTGGCGGCATCTTAGCCCCGTCTCTGTGATCCTGGTCCTGGTCCTGGTCCTTGGCTTTGGGATGCGTAAGTACAGCTCGGGGGTTCGGCTTCCCATCATTGCCTGTGTATGCGAGTGTGTGACTTTCATACATTTTTGATTTAATTTAACGCATTCATGTCGCCCACTCCGGCACATGCACATACTCAAAAAAAAAGAGAAGGAAAGGGCTTAAACGGTAGCTTCAACTAAGAGATACCCTTACCTTATAATTTACATAGGAAAACTTACTGATTGGACTCATTAAAGTTAATAAACTTTCAGAATACAATTATTATTTATGAAAATTCTCTTTTAAATTTACTCTTAACCCTTTTAAATGATACTTACACAACCAGGGGTATGATAACCCATTGAAACCACTTCAACAGCTTGGCTTAAATACAATATACCCTTGCACAGGGTATAAACAACCACGCATAAACACTTGGCAACACACACACAGGGATAATGGCACTCGTAAGCGGGCCCCAGGACGCGACAAGGCTGCTGGCAAATTATTTTAGTAGTTCTGAATCGACGGGGGAGCGGAACCCAGGCAATTGTCTTGTGAAAAAGTTGTCCTTGGCAATCGCTGGGGATGAGTTAGGGCCTGAGCTTCCCTATTGTTTCATTTGATTTGCCGAAATTAGATTAGGAGAAGCTACGGGGTCAGCAAAATAGGAAAACAATAGACCATAAAACTTGACAAAAATGTGACGCAATTCACCAAGTTCGCAGTGAAACAATTTTTCGGGCGGACTCTACCTTTACACTCCAAATATTATTGTGTTGCGAAATTTAATTTGATTTCGTAGCTTAATTAAGTTAAGAATTACCTAACGAGAAGTAAATACCCATAAAGAAAACCATTTTAATATGTTGGCTTGCCTTTCAATGGGAAACTGTCTTTTCAACATTTAGTCAATTGAATTTGTTGATTGACAAGCCAAACTGTATTTAATTTGGCGACAAATTAATTGAGACATTTGGAATTCAACCACTGGAAACGCTTAGGCGGTTAGTCTTTGGCAATAATTAAGTTACAGGAGATGTCAGTTGGGGAAAGAATTCAAGTTGAGGTTAAATTTGTTACATTTGTAACTCAACTAAATATTTATATATATACAAGTAGAAAGGAACAAAAAAATCGTTGAACGTAAATTTATTTAACCTTCCAATTTGCAATTAATTTTAAGGATTGTTTCGGAAATCGATCATAACTAAGCTTAACAAATTTTCAATTTCAATAAATCAGTATTTATTGTTGCTTTTCTATGACAATTTTAGTTGACAAATCAAAGCTTAAAAGTTACATAATTAAGCCAAAAAGTATTAATTTTACTTCGGAAACCGTTCCTATGTTAGTTTTTGATAGGTTAATAAATCTGCATACTTTATTTAAATTTAAAAAAAGGTGCAAATTTTTGTCAATTTTTGGAAATTTAACGATTTAACCCCTTATAAAATTTTCAAAATTAGGAAAAAATTTAATTTAATATATATGATTTATAGGGCTGGAAAAGACTTCTTCACATCGTTACAAGCTTTTGACTGAAACTATAATACCCTGGTAGTAAATAATAGGTATTAAAGTTTAGGAAGAAAATCATATCAATATTGACTGCAATTTTAGTTAAATTAATTGTTCTGAACACTAAAGAAACCAAACAAAAAGCATTTTTAGAACTTTTAATTAGAGATGAGGCAGCTCTAAAAGTTTCCAAATTACATAAGCCTTTCAAAAGGATAATATTTGAATTTTTGTTTTTTTAGTATACATATAGAATAAATGGAAGCCACAAAAAAATTATGAACAATTATGCGCACCTCTTAAGCTGAAAAGTTTTAGCATGATTCTCGGCTGCTTCCGCAAATTATGAGAATGAAAAATAGTTTGAGCCAGGTCCTTAACCCCATTGCTCCTTGTGGCAGGAGGAGCAGCTGCTCAACGGCCATAATCAAGGCTGGAATAAAACAATAAATTTCCCTTTCTTTGCGACCCCACAGCCCCCCAACTTTGTTTCGCTCCTCCTTCAGCTCATGCTCCTGTTGCTGCTCCTGTTCCTGCTCAACAATTACTGGGGGGTAAAAACATTAACGAAATTGAAAACTTGCCAAAAAATGTTTAATAAACACATTTTCAGTCGCATGTCGGGGGAAGGGTGGGCCTCCCTGAGTCCTCCCAAATCCCTGGCACGCTCTGCCCATTTTCCCCCGATCCCCTGATCCTTTCATTCCAACTCTCAACAAAATGCGCTTTCAGAAAGTTTTGAGTGCAACTCGTTATGCCAAAATACAGAATGGGCCAACAAAGCAGATGCAAGCCAGACCCAGACCCAGAGTCAGAGCCATCTCCCCCCTTCTCCGTCCGAAAACAGGCCAAAAATATAATACGTCCGAAGTTTGTCTTGCAGTTCCCTTTGCTTTTGTTCCGTTCGGTCAAAAACCTCATTCGGATTTTTTGGAAATTTCTGCGGAATCTCGGGATGAGTGTTCTTTGTTTGCCTGCATCGTGCCGGGTTTATGCTGCTAATTTCCAAAGTGTGCCATGTGCCGGCATCGAATCAAAGCTACCACCTGCCTACAGGTTGACTTGCCACGCCGACCCTCGACCCCCGAACCCTGTCTTATTACACCTGCCGAGATGGCCGAGATGACCGAAATCCTTTAAGGCTGCTCGTAGGTCGTAATGCCGTGTCCTGTCGTGTCGTTCCGAGCATCGTATCGTGTCGTGTGTGCGGTTGTGCCTGTAAGGGCCAAAGTGTTTGCTTACCTTCATAAATTATAAATGGGTTTGCGGAGAGACCAAAACAACAACAGTGGCGGGTACTCTGGCAGAGTCAGGTGAGTGTGTGTCACACACACACTCCAGCATACATTGTCAGTTGACCTCAGCCTCGGCAGGTCCTGTGATGACGGAAAATATTGTAACACAAGCAAAGTTTGGGGGGGCGGACAGCAACACATGACAGTGCCACAGGTCAACAAAGTGTGGAGCAACGGTGGAGCAGATGCTTTAGGAGTTGTGTGAAAATATTCATTTAAACAGAATTTTGTTTATAGCATTATTAGCAATACTTTATCTCTGAATAAGGAAACTACTTAAAAATTCTGAAGGATTAACTCTAATGCATTGTAATTTGCGTAACGTGGATAGTATCTTGCCAGATGGTCAACGTGGCGTATGAGTGATCTCATACTATATGGTCCATGTGGCGGATGAGTGATCTCATACTATTTGGTCAACGTGGCGGATGAGTGATTTTCGGTGCACAATTTCATCCACTGTGACTCATTCGCCATGCACCTAACAATTTCCTGTTCACATACACACAATCACGCTCACAATGTAAGCCGAATGGCCTTGATGCGCTTTTGGCTCGCAGAATGTGAGCTTAAATTATTCAGGCTGTCAAGGGGTCGAGGGGTCGTGGGGCAGCTGCAGCTGCGTCGACGCTTTGGGCAATCAAAGACAAACACAAGTGTGTGTGGGTGGTGTGTATGGAGCATTTAATTGCTCCGAGAATAGCAGTGAGTGAGTGGGGGGAGGGAGGCCAGGGGCCAGAGGTGGGCAAAGGAACAAAGATGTGGCAAGAAATGACCCACAAATGACAAAGTGCAGCGACAGTCAACGAGCCTTGTCTTCATTCTTTGCCGAAGTGTGAAAAGAACAAGACAAACCACCGAATAAAAATGGAAACATAAAGCAGCATAGAGGAGGAAAATTCAAAATAGCCTTCGGGCCGAAATGCGGAAATTTATGAATCGCAGCGGGGGGTAGGTTAGGAAAGGCAGGAATGTCGACGCAGGAGCCCTTCATGAAAAATTGTTTTATTTCTGGTCAACGTTTGCCTACTTATTTATTACTGTCCTGCAGACAGTCCTTTTCCGTGGCCAACTCCCACCCGTGACCACTTCCTATTCACTTTCTGCGGGACAAGTCGCTTTGGCTAAATATTTTCCCTGGAAGCCATAAAAATCAACTAGATAAGGGGCGAGTCGTGAGATATATTCGTATAGCACTGAGATTTCGCATAATTATTTAGCTGATTTATAGAGGAAAAGAGCAGGAGCCACAGGAGAACCAAGCTTTCTAATGAAGCCTATGTCCATTTAAGAGCGTTGCCTTTAAATGTCTCCAAATATAAAGAAACTTAAATTTTAATGAATAAAAGTATCACTTTAAAAATGAAAAAATGTTTATTTTACAATACCCTTTATATGTTATATATATTTTCCTAGTATAATAACAAATACATTTAGAATTTCAATCGTTCTGCATAATGTTATTCCGCCCCAAGGTTAAATCTCGATCCCATTTCCCAAGCAACTGCTTCTGTTTAAAAATAACTTTTCCTTCAACAATCCAAAGTCAGAGCTCCAACCATTGAAAATCCATTTATACTTTGACTTTATAATTCTTTTTGCATTCAATTTCCCTCAAGAGTTTCCACCGACCACAGCTCACTTATCATGCCTTCCCCACAGACTGATTCATCTTCATCAACATGAACCTTTGTACCATAAATTATTTATGTTTATGCACATTTCGATGACATTTGATCACAAGTGCCTGGCACTCCCATAAATATTTGAGTAAAAAATCAGCCAAGGGAGGGAAAATTGTATTTAAAGTGGCATTTATCAAATCGATCAATAAATAATTACCGAAAGCGAATGCTCTCACAGAGCAAATAAATAAATAAATAAATGAATAACTTTTGCTCATGCCGCCACGAAATCTTATAGAAATGTATCCTGTATCTACGAGTGTGTTTCTGTGTGTGTGTGAATGTGTGTTGGAAAACAGCATTAAAGATACATTTGCATGAGTGGGCGGAAGCTGCGTCATTTTGCCCCATTCTGTTCAGTTCTGTTATTCGAGTGGCTGCCGCTGATGTTTGTGTTTAGTGTGAAATTGCTCTCAGCACCATTATCCGAGGATTCATTCAAAACTGAAGCATATGTTGGGTGTCACTGTGGAAATTATACATGCCATGTGCCTCAAGGCGGGGATACCGATCCAGGATGTTCAATATGGCCA